CAGGGCCCGTGCCTGTTCTCGAGTCAGGTTGCGAAGCAGCAGTGTCAGGAGATTAAAACTTTCCTCCACCTCTGGCGCCACTACCTGCTTTTCCTGTCTCACCTCTTGGCAAACGAGGGGCGGCTGGGCACAGTAGAGGTCTTGTTTGGCCTCCCAGATGGCCGCACTACAGGCGTCGTAGACGGTGCCGTTGAGCTCAGTTTTGGGACATTGAGGTGAGCTGGTGAGACAGTGTGAAATGATGCTGCTGAGGTAGCCGCGAAACCAAATGTCTGGTCTCAACTCCTCGATCTCGCTGCCCTCTCTCAGGCAAAATAGTGGACGGATGAGGTCGCTCATGGCAAGTACATTCTCCATGTCTAGTCCATAGTAGAGCAGGTCGGCGCCAACTAACTGCACTCCAAAGAAGTCCTCGTCGATGTCGAGTATCAGTGGCGTATCCAGATCGGCAGGCAAGGCGTAGTATTTGGATCGACGAAGAATGGGCGCGGCGTTGGCAGAAGTAAGTTCAATCTGCGTGTAGTTCCAGCGCCGGTCGCAGTTCTTGTCAGCAATGTCACTAAAGGCCTCAGAGCTATTGGGATTACGCACAATACAGGCGTCTGGGATGTTCTCATAGCAGAAACAGAATCGTTTCGGATCATCGAATGAGCTAATACCTACCCAGGCAGTGAAAGCTTGGCTTTCATTGCTGGTCCACGAGGGAAATATGAGGTAGGTGGAATTGATGAGTTGAGCAATTATTGCACTCTAAAAGAATAAGCAAATAACTTCTCAGTGTCAGTCAGGCAATGCAGTTCATGTGTCTATATCAGACAAAGCAGAGTAGATGAAGTAGAAAGCAATAATTCAGTAGAGCATTTTTGAGGTAGTATAGTGTTTTTCGTGTTGTGAACTGTCCAGGGGTTTCAAAATGTTTGCCTCAATGCACACTAATTAGCTGATGGACACCGGGGCGCGTGGCCATAGGCAAAAATGTGTCGGCCTTTAACTATTACCTGTCCGCGCGTATGGCTCACTAACACGGCCTGGTTATCGTGTGAAATTTTAGCCTTAGATCAGGGGGCACATCGCGGTTCTCATCTCACGTAAAACTAGCAGTCTGGGCTATAATATTACCTTTTTATACTGCCGGCTGCTTGTTGGGAGTCTGGCAAATATTACCCGGTAATCCCGCGGTGACTGCCAGAAATTTGCCCAACTAATTATCCAAACTTCGCTCTCAGACTGTTAAAACTCAAATTAGTTGATTCACTAAAACGTTGCGCATATATTATGAGATAACTACACAGACCTATGCTTACAGGAAGTATCTACAACATAGGGACATGTAAAAAGACGGAATTTGTGAGCTCTAAGGCTTAAAAAAGAAAAATATTCATCGCAGGGGTCGAAGGTCCTTGTTAGCTTTCTGCAAATTGACAAATTTTGTTTAGAAGTAAAAGTATTACCGCCGCGAGCGATGACTCCGACAGCGTGCCCCGCGGAGTGGACGCAGGGTCGGTGACCTGTTCCTGAAGTAGTTTGCAATAAACACATTTGCCCAGGACCTGACAAAGCCTGTTTTTCTTCAACCACTTAAATCCGATTGCATTTTGGATCAAAACAGACGGGTGATGTGTTAGGCCCCGGTGACCAGCGAAGCCAAACAATCCATAAACGTATGCCACACATGTCTAGGCTGATGACCGCACGTGTACCGGACCTTATTCGGGGAGATATCTAAGAGTACAATTGACGCAAATGTGAAAAATTCGCGGCCGCGATAGGAGTAGAATCCACACAGCAGGGAAAGCTTCTGCGCAGCCAACGCTATACATTAGAGCTACGAGGCCATTCTTCCCCTTAAATCAACTGACATCCAACTTATGTGGTATGCGTCTATCTGGCAATGCGGACGCAGTAAAAAGGAAAGTTTGAAAATACCATATGATCCGCGTACCTGAATGAACTGATCATTCCTTTGCATCATCGCCGAAATTTGCGCATCGTTTTCGGGCGGATGGCCAAGTGGCAAGTCGTCAACCAGTTCTGGAAAGTCCATGTCACTGTGTCCATCAATGTGAATCTATTGGTGACAGAAGATATAGAGGTTAGTTAAACTAGAATACGATGGGTCGAGAATATAAGCAAATTTTGAAATGACAAGGCGACTTTAACAGTTGAGATTACTACAGGTCAGCTAAGGGGGTTAGTGGCCGATAAATGGTGACACATCATTCACGGAAACCTAAATCTGAAATGAGCGAGCATTCTGTTCCAATGAGTTAGCAATTTCAGACCATCAGCAACAACTTCACAAGGGTGAGTTCTGGTAAATGGAGTATTACCGCACAGTCCGATGGTGGTACTATTACATGTTGGCCATGCCATATATATATTTGGGGTCAGCTTGTGCTAAAAATGCGCAAGAGGGCTCACGTATAAAGTACCGAAAATGCTATTACGGCCAACGCTACGGCGTCCGTAGGAAGCGACGCGATGTGCAACCGCAATCCAATGGATGTAGGGAATAGGAAACTAACTGGACTAGTCAGTCAGTGGTGCCAGTGGTTGCAGCTTTATTAATTCGATCGTTTTTAATAAGTTGAAGCGAACTTGTTTCCAAATGGACAAAGTGAGGATCACATCGCACCTGAACTGATACTATGTCGCAGTAGTTTCTTAGACTCTAGCAAGTGTTTATAGATCCGAAGTGATGTCCTATTAGCACAAGGATTCCCACTTATCAGGTCGGTTATCCTGTGTGGTTGTAAATGCTGGTCTTTGCCCATGGACTATTTTCTGGAGACCTACTGTTCTAGTGAAGTGAACTAACTTTGTACCACAATAAACGGTAGATATCGGAAATGCTACCCGGCTTTGTCTTAGTATATTTTATTGCTACTGCACTCTATTCAGTAGGCTTATTACCGCTTTCGGATATTTTCACTTTGCGGTAAAAAAGGGTTGGCATCGTCATATGTCAGAACTTCCTATTTGACTACAGGGAGTTTTGTTCATGATTTTTTGGTTATGACCTATTGTTTGACTCGTTATACCTAGTATAAACGACTATTACTTAGCATTCTCAGGAAGTGTTGGTTGTTTGAATCTAGTTACCGTTAGGGGGTTGGGGTAATGGTAACCGTTAGGACTAGGGTTGGGGTTCCGAGTAGAGTTTCCTTTAGGGTTAGGCTTAACTGTTAAATAGCCGTTGGCTAGATAGTCAGTAATCTCATAAATAAATAAGTAAAGAATTTACTGGTGAATAAATCGCTTTTATGTTTCTATCAATAATTAGTCAATAATAGTAGCTATTGTTGCGTTTACAGTTTTGGAAAATTGCTTGCCTAGCACTTGCTAGCGCTCCGCTAGATACCTTGCGACACAGTTGCTACGACACGTCGCTTATCGCATTGCGCGCTGTTTCATCAGTCTAACAACATCTCGAAACATCATGCTTGATATTTACAAATTTTCTTATTTCTACCTGTACATTTATCTACTAGTTGCCACTGTTCCCACCTGTAAACGCCTTTATTACTAATATTGCCGAACGTCCGGTTTGAGTTTCGTTGCAATGACCGCGTTTGTGATCGCTGCTAAATTAAGAGTCTAAAGTCAATACAGTAACCTTGTGAAGACAGGCAGGTCATCGATGAAGGACGACTTGTGTGCTTTGGTAGGTCTATCATCGTCCGTCTCATTGGATGAGGGTTGCTGCACTTATTTCGAGGTTGCTGCCTACTTGAAGGCGTCATAAGTAAGATCGACTGAGAAGCTAGTGCATCACCATCCGTCAAGCCGTCGAGGTGCTTCATGGACAGTCGGTTTTCGGCCTAGTCACCGGAGAAGATATTGGGCCGAACTCCGCAGATGCATTGCCGGAGCTCGTAATACGTAGAGTTACACAGTTCGCGACCTCATTGCAACAGGCTGAATCTAACATGGACACATTTGTGTGAAATAGCTGCAAGAAGATACACTGGCTAGAATGGACGCAATGCTCTTGGAAGCGAATTCGGATTAGGCCCCCTCAGACCCCAACAGAAGTCTAGGGAGGTAAAACAGAAGTATAAGTCGTACCCAACAGTATGCTTATGTCAAGTGACCTTACCAGGTTAGCCTTTTTCCATCCATAAGCTTTTACTGCTCTCACCCAGTGTGGAATTACTGAAGAAGAAAAAAAAAACGTTTGCGCGCATGTATAATAGGTTAATAGGCAAGTGGACCTTGCATGAAAGAAAAAGAGGGTAATTCGAAAAAGAACAACATCCTACTCATGCCATATCAGTTCGCGTTCAGCACAAGTTACGTTTGGGTAACTCAAAGGACTGAAGCTCAAAAGTGCTTCAATTTCGACTTTGTGCCAATGGTCACTGTTTTGTGTATTATACTAAAAGAATTCTAAGACAAGTGTGGAAAAGGACGCAAAATTTACCCTCGCAGCTGCGGGTTTTTGGCAAAGACGAACAATTTTAGTTTGACGGAAGCTGCCGAACTGTCAAAGTACTCAATCACCATACACGCTGCCTCGCACTTTCTCGTCTTCTTTTGATTCCCCCGTACCGGGCTTTGGGAACGGGTGTCGGCTAACTCACCATTCATGCTAATTAAAATTACCAGGCGCGGGTCGTAATAGATACAGAGTCGAAATATACATATTCTATATCGAGTATTGACCCCCGTACATTACTACTGGCCATTCGTGATCGCAGATAAACGAAGTCATCGGCGAAATAACTCGTGAGGTCAACATCCGACAAGACTCTATGCTATTCCCCAGAGAACCAAATGACTGAACCGTAACACTAGCAAGGAGGAGAAAGTTCGATCACTGGGCCTTTTGAATCGTCCAGGAGATCACCCCTGTAGATTCTGAAACTGGGCTCTCGTACGAGTTGACTAAGTGGAATTACTGCGAGAGCCTATCCGTTCGCTGCAAGTTATTCTTCTTTGCAAAAGGAAATTGCGGTCTGCACACCTACGCACACATGCTCAAATAACCAGGGAAAGGAAAAACATGCAAATTCCTTAGCTATCCTACGTAGAGTTTTACTTTGCTAAGCCATCGAACACCGATATTTCGATCGTCACATGACATGCGGTTCAAGGTTGTCCTAAGGAGAACAAAACCATGCATAGTGTTCGGTTTGGAACACAGACGGCTACTTTCATGCAGATCTTATTACAAAACTGCCTAGGGAAAACGGGAGGACACTGTAGGAACTGAATAATCCTGCAACTTCCTTGTCCAAGCAACAGCAACAAGTAAGGCATGGAGATGCTGAGGAGGATGGGTATGCACAAGACCAATCGGCAAGATACAGGGACGAGCGTCCATTTGCATAATTCCAGAAAGGATAAATTTTATGGTGACATAACTCTAAATCTATCCCTCACCATAAAACCAGCCTTAACCCTTAGCGTAAGCCTTAACGTAACTCTACTCCTTACCTCAAACTCAAGTTAAAACTACCCCTTACTTTAATCTTTTACTTAGCTAAAACTATCTCTTAACCCAAACCGTAAATCCAAAAACTTCTCTTACTCTTATTTCCCTGGGCAGCGGCAAAAGTCTCGCTGGACGGAGGGCGTTCCTATTCGTGTTTCTTACTGGCGACCGAAGCATACTGTACAAGGTCATTTCGCTTAAGCTTTGTCTATCTTTGTCTTCGTATCTACACGTCGACTGAACAATGATGGTTATAGCCCTATGGGAAAGAGATTCCTTACGTACTCTCAGAGAAGGCTTTTTTCCATCAAAGCTATGAGAACAAGCGGACTTTCGCGGACAAAACCACATTTGCCATGTTCAGATAATGTATCAGTACCGGTAGATGCACCACAAGCGAATAATTAAGAACAAAAAATCGGTCTACTGTCGACAGGCCCCGGAGCTTTTAAAATTACGGCTCCCACGATTTTATTTGCAACGGGAAGTGTTAAAATAACGCCTGGCTCACCTTCATGATGCTCTTCTTCGACATAAACCATAGTCTTTATGAGGGTGGGTGCCACCTTCTCTGCGATTGGTGGCCGCACATGGGGCGGGCGTTGTATTTTGTTATAAATTAGGAAGACGGTACCACAGAGGGCCAAAATCACCATTGCTACACGCGCGTAGTTCTGCCATCTAAAACAAAGGCGAGGAACAAATTTGCTTAAACAATGCCTCAATTGGAAAGAAACAAGGGCACATCTACTGAATGCATATGCGGAGTCTTCCAAACTTTTGTTAGAATGAAAGCACGGACTGTCATGGAAAGCGTATTCACTATTGATTTGTGATGCGGTTGGATGGTTGGTACATAACAATAGGTCGATGAGGAAATTCCACCACAAACTGTCACAGACCGTTACACTCAAAGAAGTACTACACAGTATGATTTATTTTAGCTAGCTCAGGCTTGACTGCGGTAGTCACATTACGGTAAGCGTCCTCGATCGGCAGATGAGGGTGTCAAGCATGCGTGCGGGTAGCTTCACACGCGGTTGTTCTTTCAAAACAAAGGTCCAACGGGTTGAAAGGCATGCCTTTCCATAGACAGCTCGGGCTAATTTAGCTAGCCCTGCCCATTGCACAAAGACAGGATCAAGTTTAGCATTTGGACCTGCAAAGTTATATGCCGACTTTGACGGCTGGAAGCATCTCCGCCTTCAGGAACAGAGAAACTTGTTACGTTGTTTAGCACAATTCCTATTGCTCGTAGTAACAAGTCAAATGATGCAGTGTCTATAGTTGCACAGCGATCCCATTGTAGGCGCTTAGGCCCCTGTGCGTTTGTGATCATTTTATGTGGCAGATTCTAGTGATGGTTTCGAGTGTAAATCTAAAATGTTAGGCAAATAAAGATTTTTTCCAGCAAACAAGGTTTCTTATCGGAACTTTTGTTTTTTATGACATACATTATGTTTAGTTAAAACCAAATTGCCTCTTAGTTTTAGTTCATGTCTAGGAGGGTAAAAAGATAGTAGAAGAGGGCATCGATAAAGGTATACATTCCGGTCCATGGAAAGCATGCACGTTTAAACGGAAAATTTCAAGTACGTGTATACCGGCAGATCGCGTTCCGTATGAGTCGGAAATTCGAAAACATTTTAAAACCTTAATATTATCTACCTTTGATTATAAATTTTAAAGACGACGTTATTGGCTATCAAGTGAGTACAGGAAAATATATATTTGCTGAGTATTTCTATAAAATATATTTAAATGTATAGGGACATCAGTGAACAATGATCATGCTGAACACTAATTAATTACTATTTGTGGAATGAGTTGCATTTTTGCAGGTGACCGAACATGAGTGCACTCCAAAACTAACTTCGTGAAATGTCTCATATAGAAGGGAACTACGCTCCTGATGAGTAATATTGCAAACATACTTAAGTACTCCTCCCCAATCGTAAACGCGTTTCAGAATTTCGGTTAGGTGTCCGGAGGAAGTTGTAGCAGAGGCATACATCGCCTCTGAACCCAATATTCAGGTTACGATAACTCGCATTGTCGTAAAATAATAACGTTTTAATGCAGAAACTTACAACGTTAACAGTGTTTTTTCCTAAAACGTTTGGGATCGAGGAATAATCCTTCAAATAACACTATTTTTCACGTATGTCCTAACCACAGTGGTGTGAAACAGCGCACGAACCTCTTCCCGACAAAAAAAATATTCTCAAACATTTAAACCTTTTAAAGGGAGAACGAAAAGCGACTAATGTAATTTATATGTTTATCATGCTGCCTTGTAATCGTTCCGCTTGGAATCTCTGCATTTATTTATTCGAAAGTTACCAGGGATATTTGACCGATAGTTTTGTAAGAATAAACGCATTGCGTACGATAATTTGATTTGTGACGCTTCTGTATAGCTTGCTAAAACCAGTTTAACCTGACGGAAATTGCTATATTTAGTTTCTCCTTCCGAATTATTTATGCAACCTGAGGAGATGCCTGTTTTGTTGCCCTGTCGTTTTCATTGATATGTTGGTGTCAGTGTTGTTTTGTGTGAAATGCAGCGCCTCTTCTCTTTGTTTTTTCCTCTTTTAAGCACATTTCAATAACCCTTGCATAAAACTGCTGGTTATCGCGTAGTCGGGGGTTTTAATTACAATGAAAAAGGCACTGAACTAAACACTTTGGATAAAGTTAACTTCATCAACCAGTCATAACCCGATCCAGGACATAGTATCTAAGGTTTGCAAGCGAGTCAACGATCTAATTCCCTAGTTAGAATTGTATAGACTTTGATGTTTGTCTGAAAATATATTTTCGATACGGATACACTGAGGAGCGCAGTCTCGTTTTTTTAAACTTAACCAAGGCGCGCATCGAACGCATTTACTTTCAGAGTCGTGCATTTAAACGCCAAAGTTAAAAAAGGCATAGAAAGTGAGATTGACAGCTCGAAAAGCATACAGTTACATGAAGAGAATCACAAATTCACCTTTCCGTGCGACTGCTCCCGTTCTGTTGCTCCGTCTGCATTGTACGACTGTCGCATTCGTTGAATGAAAAGCTGCTGTACGAGGCGCAGGTTTTAATATCTGACAGCATGTGCATGCCACCACCCG